AATAAAATTAATTTTAAGAAAGCTTGTTACCTTAGAAGGGAACATCGTACCATAAAGTTACCGTCTAAAATACTTCAAGTATTACGTACAATAAATAATCTGACTGTCAAGACAATTCACCAACTGTTGCTCCGACAATATATCATATAAGAATATGTAATCATTCTTCCTTAAGTGTTTAATATTTATATATATTTTACGATGACGTCTTTCATTTAAATGAAATTTTACTTTAAAGGGGAAAATTTCATTAAAAACAAAGAGAAAATAATATTAGAGGCTTTAATTTAAAAACTAAAATATTTTTGAATGGAAAAAATTACTATAGTACATTCCAAAAATGCAATAATTTTTTTGTCATATATCTTTATATTCATAAATCGTATGTGTGATCGAATCCGAAAAATAAAATAAGTTATTTATAAAATGAAATGTAATACGAAGAAATATTGTAGAATGAGAGCTTATATTAACCTATTTGAAGATTTTCAAGATAAGACTTCAATATTAGATTTTATTTTATTTATTTCCTAAAACAATTCCATGAATAGCTTTTATTTATTTATACATATGATAAAATGAAATCTTTTACATGTATTCTTTCAAATTTAATTACAAGTAAAGTTCGGTAAGTCTAAAATAAGTCAAGCAAAACCACAAACATAGTCTAGTATTAGTATATTTAAATTATTGTGACATTCATTATTTATATAAATACACCTATCTGTTGACTTGTTGCCAATATCTGAACAAATACATCGTGACTTTATTTTATTGTACTCAAGAATTTAATTGAAATTATCTTGAACGTATGGTGATAATATTTTCTAAGCATCATGTAAATAATACGTAATATGCTACAATAGGAACAAAGGCTCCAATCGATATCAATCCTTTGTCAATTTGAAGGAGGCATTTCAAACACTTTGTGGTCCACACACTGTACAACATATGTACATTGACTATCCGTACAATAGTTATGTATCAAAAGAGAGTTGTGTATAAACATACATACATTTGTAAATAAAATATATGTTCATTCGTGTTACGGCTCAAATCAGACAGGTTTTGAAGGGTTGTGTCAAATCGAATCAAATCAAAATATTGTTCATTCATATAAACATCCAAGTTTGTTGGAATATCAATTTATTTTACTTTAGCTTTTACCAGTTTTCGTCACGTGTTCAAAAATTACCCTCAAGGTCCTTAGAAAAATCTTAATGTGAATAATTACAATAATTGTTTTGGTATCTGTTTTCGTAAGTAATAATATACAATACACATACTAATGAATTAATTATATTATAAGTATAGGAGCAGGAATGCGGTCAATAAAATATAATCTAGAAATTCTAGTTATACAATAATTATATTATTATTATAAACAAATTACTTTATAATAGAATAATTTAAGGTTCATTGACGTGTTAAAGACTCGCCCTGGAGAACCTTTTCGGATTGGATGTTAAAAGTCAGCCTAATTGAACGACCTTGTAAGCCAGACTGCTGAAGCCTCGAATAATCCAAGCGGAATAATTGAACCAAATATTAACTAATATATATATACATATATATTAATCTGTTTACACAATCTAGTCTTCGTTTACAGATGAGGTAACTAAGATGACAATAACTGACATAGTATATAAAGATAAGAGAATTACCTAGATATTATCGTGGAATAAGGTATAAAAGAGAATAAAAGAAATATATACATGAATATATTCGAATAAAATGATCAAATTTTAAATGAAAAATAACTTAATTCGTTCTTATATAACAATAAAATTAATAGTATGGCAAAAAATAAAAATTTATGACCTACATAAGGATGTGACAATACCGAAAAGAAATATAATGCATCACTAGTGATGCGCCACATTGTAATGGGTTATCGATAGTCGATATCGCAGTAATACCAACCCACAATGGACCGTTGACGGTTTTACGAGCGTTTATATTCTGGCCGCATTTTAATGAATATCGATATATTTTTCGTATATAATATATACTAGAGAAATAACTTAGAATATACTAGAAAAGCTGGTTTAATATTTATTTATTTTAAGCAAAGAAAACTTTATATGAAGACATAAACAACGGAGAGATTTTATCTTGAAACCATTCAGAGATTTCATTAATACCGTTTATAAACAAAAACTTAAAAAACTTCCTAGCCACGTTTGATCTTAAAAAACTTATTCAAAGGGACCCTTCAAATAAATTTAATTCCCATAGCTCAAAGCGAATTCATTTCTATGGAAGTGCGATTAAATCTTAATTACTCAGACTCACTATGAAACTGCAGCAGTGTCTGTGCAAAGGAGCCTAATTATTTAAATTTCTTCATAAAATTAACCTTCCAGAAAAACGCTATATAATATTAAATTTAAATCACTAAATGAATGAAGTCGATTTTTATATAAAAATTCGTAGTAAACAAAATCTGTTTACATTTTGTGTATCAGTAACGGTCTCGTGTAACCTGGCGCAGTACATTCATATTTTAATATAGAGTGACTTAAATAATAAACTAAGTTTGTTAATGTTACGACTTGAATATTTTTTAGCAGAAAAAGGACGGTTTTGGTATTTAAACATGAAGAAGAATTGAAAAGTAGGATAGGGATAATAGATTTATTTGTTTCGTTTAGTAGAACAACACATATCGAAAAGAAATCCAAGTTAAAGTTTTTAGAATTCTAGATAGATTCTAGATATCTATTTATCTATTAGACTGGATAGATTTTACAAGAAAGTTAAACAAATAAACTTAAGTATCTTGAATGTCAAAAATTTTTCATACAAAAAAATTATTAACGTAAAAATTTTCTGTCAAATATTTCCTCTATCACTGTACTTTGATGTTTTGATTTAATTTTAAATTACATTCAAACGATATAATATATACAATAACATTCTCTAAACATTATTTACTTTATACTATACAATACTGACTAGATATTCTAAGTCAGAATTAATCCGTTCTGTTGTCAAAACAAAATAGATTCACTAGCATAATAATTTAGAAAGTTACTTGCATCTATTAATAATGTTAAAACAAGGATTTAGTCTTTATTTATTTATTCAAATTAACCTGAGAAAATGTTAATAAATTCTATATAAATGTAAGTATTTATATGTATTGGAATGTAAATATTTAATGATGTGACTGCGGCAATACTTTTCGTCCTAATCGCATTAGGTGACCCGAACGGAAATGAAAACGCTCGATACGATATACGACTCACAATTACTTTCACGACATTTTCGTTATCGCGTTAACGGAATTGCCTTATATTTTTATCGTTACAACGACTTATTAGGTAATTATTTAAATTGTTACATTATGTTTTTTTTTTATAACGATGTTTTAATTTGTTTTTATGCTGAGAATGTTACGCTCGGTAAAAATGGTTTGGATTGTGTTGTATAGAATTATATTTATTTTTAATATAGAATATTTTGTACTTGGAATCTTTAGAAAATTTAAAGCGATGTACAAAAAAGATTCTAAATATTTGTCTATAAGCCTTTATTAAGATATATTATATACATATATAAATGTAAAAAGAACAATTAGTACGTACACGTATGTACATTTGTCATTTAACTGATAAATCAAAAAGTAAACGGGGATCGTTCGGAAGGCCCGGGGGTAAAAAATTCAGGTAAGTTTAAAAGAAAATAATAAAATATCAAATATAGTGTTGTGCAAACGATTGTCGATAAAACCGCCCCGTTTAACTGAAACGCCCCGAATTGTGGACGCGATCAATTGAAAACTGAAGTGAGCTAGGTATAGATCGAGTTTGATTATGAGTTTTTATAGTACATAATTTTACCTCCATCTAATGTAGTTATATTAATTTAACAGTACAGTTAAGTCTAGCATAAGACTCAGGAAATAGAGTTGTTTATATGAGAGCTCATAAATATTACTGTGTTCATTTCTGTATAAAATAAAATAGCTATTTGTTTTATAGCACGATATTAAAATATATTGCGTTAAACGCAAATAAGACGTATATGGGTGTAGTGGTAGGATGCATTTCTCATAAATCAGCTTCTGTAGGCGCGTCTTAATACAATTTTATAAGTGACGGAAACAAACAAAATACTATCGATAAACTAGTCGGTCGAGTTGAATAAAGAATATTTTTAATATGTTGAGAATTTTTGTCATACTACGTAAAACGATCACATGAATTTTGTTAGATTGTATGAAAATTTGAGGCCATTTAGAAAATGCTATTTTCAAGTGAATCGGCTATGCGGTTTCGCAGTAATTTGCATACATTATTTAAATTTGAATGTATGCAATAAGAAGTGGAATAGGCGATAGCGGTCCTTTTGTGTGTTTAACATTTTATAACAATTATAAGTCAATTAAATGGTAATGTGTGGCTATTTTTCTTTGTTTATTATGCAAACTATACCCGCGAGACAGTTATATTCTTAAAAACACCTATATAATTAGTAGCTATAACAAATAAAATTTAACAAATTGTGTATTATATTTTCACTAAAGAAATTGTCAGAACTTAAATAGATAATAATGATCTCAACATATTAAACTTCAACGGTGAAGTATAGCACAAATATAGAAATGAAAATTGAAATAAAACATAACGGAAACCAATATCAACGCCGCGAGCCTGATATGGGATTTATCGATATTATATTATCGAACATTTCCCAGCATTAAGTGTACTACATAAATCATGGGGACATACGCCGTATCTGTTGCCAGCTTAATACGATCGTGAAAGGGGGCCTGCGGGGGCCTGGGAGGGCCTGGGGAGGCCTGGGGGGCCTGGGAGGATGGGGCAGGAGGAGGTTAGAGGACAATGGGGTTGTATCTTCCAAGTTTTTATATGGTTTATCGTGTATTGCATTTTTATTTTTTGGTATTTTAATTGAATTGTTTCCGTTTGTCCCGGTTTAAAGCTTTGTCAGCGTATTCTGTGAATAGATTCGTTGTGTGTGTATAAGCTAACCTGTATGCCATTCGTATTTGCTCGCCGTTTTTGTACCATATCAGCTGTGCTGGCGGATTCCCTCCTCTACTCCGGCAGACCAGCTCCAGACTTTGTCCTCTTCTAACAGTTTCGCCCTCGGCATAACCTTCAATATATGGTGCACCAGGCGGATCTAGAAAAATATATTGTATTATAGTAAATTGGTTAATAAAATCTTACGGTACAAACTAAACAAATTTCCATAAAAATATTTAAAAACAAAAAACTTCTTTAGCACTCCAAATATTATCTCTCAAAGGACGAAATATACAGGATTAATTAAAAAAATATCCCAAACACCACAAACTCGGTAATCCTTTAATTGTTGAAGCCCCGTGAAATTTCCGCGAAATTGTCCTTCTCAAAGTTGCGTAATCTCATCATAAATTGATACAAAACTTCTGAGGTCCCTTGAACCGCGAGTTTCTTTGACAGAAATACAATCAAGATGAAAATTTAAACAATAAAAAAATATCAAAAACTCATCAAGAGGCCGCTGGAGTTAACAGAATCTTTTTCCAAAGGAACTTCCCGACTCGAATATTTTACGAGAAATTCGTTTAGCAACTAAATGAAAGTAATAAAACTATGCTTTTAAACTATTGCATGCTTTAAACTTTGCGAGTTGGATTCCTGTTATATTTATGTATAAGTGTTAATCTTGTGTTTAATTTTATGAGACATTTATAAGGATTAATGTTTTTAAGACTATTTACATGAAGATGTATTTTTATTATAAAACCTTCTTCATTTAATTTATAGAAAAGACGAATTATAACAAATAATGACACGACGGAGAATCGAACGTTGTAACCAAAATTCAAGTAGTCTAACCACTGCACCAGATGTTTGTTGTACTATAAAATTATTTTTCGAATATAAAATACAAAAGGCAAAATTGAAATTTCTGTAAGTTTGAAAACAACGCGCTTATTCCATTATATCGGATATCAAAGAAAATATAATATAAAGGACCCCTTACTTCATTAACCTCTATTACATTATACCGAGGATTTTTTTAACGATAAAATTGTAACGCAAAGCCCGGTTTATAGAATTTTTACTGGTACGTAAGTGGGATATTTTTAACTATTTCAGAGAGGATTTCTTTTTCGCAGTTAGAGTACATTACAAATTGAAAGTGCTAATAATAATCAGATTTAGTTTACTTAAACTCTGAATAAACATGAACTAAATTGAAGTAAGCCTTATACATACAATTCGTTTTAGTAATTCTATATGTATGTATTAATCTTTTATTGATATACATCATCATAGTAATAGCTTCAACGTGTTAAATTGTTATAATTTAACACAGACTTGCGAAATGACACCACATGTATGACAGTGTGGGGTAATGTGTTTATTTTTATATTCTACCACTTGTGCGATTGCTAGTGACGGGAAAATATCGACGTTTTAATTCATGCGATAAAATAGAATATGTAATCGAAATTATAATAGGTGTAATGATCTATTCAAATATATTTAAAAATTAATATAATAAGGTTAAAGAAATAAGGGCAAGCCCAAAATTGTAATACAAATTAGAGGGGCTCACGATAAATATAATTATCGATGATCCGTCCCCATCACTAAGTAATTCGAGCATAGGGGACAAAGTATGTAATTATAAAGGCCGATGGAATTTTGCGTTACAACATCCTGTATATTATAATAAAAGTAGCAGTCCATTACGAAGGATTATCATAAAGATGTAGGAAATTGGATTTTTAGATGTGAATCCCGTTAAAGGGCATAGTCTCTCATAACATGAAATATTTCCTCTAAGCTTTAATACAAATATTCAAGATACTTTTTTAATTCATCGACTCTAGAGAAAGGCTTACGCTCCTGTAATCTTTGAAAAATTTTTGCCAAAACTTGCTACTGGAAAAGGAATTACATTGCAAAGAGAAAGATGTAGCAGAGACGAGAAATAACACGTCCGAATCAAATGGAATTATTAATAATTCATAGAGGGCGCCCTCAGCTTTGCAATTCCGAATTTGTTTTGGCTGCACTGGTCTAGAGGACAATCCGTGAAAATAACGGATTTGTGCTGACATTAAACAAACATCGTGACATACATTTACAGAAGTTTGAAGTCTAGATATTTATTTAAGTCTTATGCCAAAGATAGAAGATAAATAAATCTTTTTAGAGATCTGAATTAAAAAATTACTGCTGTTTTTATTGATGATTATATTAATGAAAAAATGTAGTCTGTCAAGTATTTTTAGAGATATCACGTAAGTATTTACCTTTTTTTTAAATAACAATATTGATTTCCTTGCTAGTGTACAAAAGTGTGCCAAATTTTACACTCGGTGGTCCGAGTAATTCTCACAAAAAGGGCTACAAACTTTTTGCTTTCTGAATTAATGGCATATTATAAAATATATTTGTGGAATTTTTTCAGGAGCGCCTTTCTTTATATTTTCATTTATTTCATTTCAGTTTTAATTGGCCTTCATACAATCCTTTTTACATTCGGGTCTGTGAGCAAAAGAAGGTAAATTGTCCCTAATTTGCACAAACGAAATTCTAACCAACGTTTTACCTTAAAGTGGCTCTCAGAATTCCTAGGTAATACACAAATGAGTAGACATCTCCACTCGTAATGAAGCCTTATTGCTTGTTTTTAAATTTATACCAAAAAGAAATATTATCAAAAATATGAAGAAACAAAATATTTTTCTATATAGTCGAGAAAAACTGATTATTTTGTCTATTTATTAAAAATATATGTATAAAATACGAAAAAGAATCAGATCTCGTGTTTCAAGTCATTTTAGAATATTTTTATTAATTAATATGGCTTGTATTAAAATAAATTTTTATACTATAAATAATTTTTATACTATTCCGTCTATTTGACAAATCAATATAACTGTATATTAAGAATATACGTTAATATGATGCCTTTTTTCTCATATCAAACAAGATTTAAAGCTATCGTTAATGTATTAAAATAAAAAATCGTTAAATAAAATGTATTCTATAAGAATAGATACCAAATTATTACTCAATAATTCGGTAAAATACTTGATTAGATATATATAAATCTTATGTTACATCGCTTTAAAAGTTGGTAAGATAAATTCGCCTCCCAAAGTCAGCGGCGAGTCAATATTGAGGTAAGCTTTAAATGGATATCAATAATGGATGATGTACATGTCGGGTCGAGTAGCGACGCTCAGCAAGGGTAGTTGTGTAGTCTAGACTTTTTTTATTGTACATTAAAATAAATACTTGTTAACTAACATGGTTTATTAATAGAACTTCTTAATTATATGTATAATGTTTGTTTTATAAGGTACGAATAGTAATAAAAATAAAGAGATTTTATTGTTTTGTTAGGTTTTTATAAAAGACATATACGTCTCGAATGAATAAAAAGAATTAACCAATATTAAATCCACCAACTACAATACGAGTACACAGCAATAGTTTTAATTAAAATCCCAACATATCACTTGCTGAAATCCGTATTGGATTTCTTTCAATAAATAATATCGATAAATTCCTCTAGTTTAACACCAGTGATATAAATGGTAACCATTTCTCAGTGAGAAATAAAATTATTTAAGCCGTTGAGTTAGCGCTAAGGAGAACATTTTTCATAAGAATATAAGGAAATGCACCGATTATTATTGACGAGTATAACGACAATTACTTTTATGAAAAATAGTTATACAAAACTTTGAACATTTATTGTTTGGTAAATCTACAAAGGAATTTTTAGGTAACGGTCATATATAAAATAAAAATTTATTCTTATTGATCTATCTAGTTCAATAATTAAAATTAATCTTATATAAAATCTGCATATTTATGTTTAATTTATAATGATCTTGCCAGTTATATCTTGTAATATGATTTAGAAAATTGCCGGATGCAATATAATTTGCAATTACAGAATCGTAATCCAAAGATAGTTTTCGTATTTCAGATAATAAAAACAATAATTATAATTTAGAAAACCATAAAAAAAGCTCTGAATAAACACAGATGAACACAGAAACGGAACTAAATGGCTTTGACGTGATTAAAGAGTCGGTTGAGCTCGGATAATCTCGCTAACCGAACTAAACCGTCCAGTTTGGAAATGGGTTCGGTATGAAAAGTTCACAATCATTTGTTTTAAATAAACTAAATATTACAAACATTGTTAATATTTAAGCAATGTTTAATTTTAATTAATGAAGTATAAGACTAACGAGTATTCATTTAAATGATACTAATATTTTTTGATTACCATGATTACGGTAGCTGAAAAGTAACCGAAAGGTATGGAGTATATAGTTTTTACTATAATAAAATACGCATAGTATAATCCTAAAAATATAAGTTTCATTTTAATTTCACTTATATTCAAAAGAAATTAATTTATTATAAAATTAAAAGTAACTGAATATTTCGATCTGTAATTTCGATATAAGACTTATTATAAAGAGTTATTAGGTTCTCACGATAATCAAAATATATTAGATAACAAATATCATAAGTAAATTAAAGTATTCATATTTAAGTATCTGAATGCGCTAAGAACATTAAGTTTTCTGTTTAACAACATCCATGAAGTCTGTACGTCTTCATAAATCTCAGGTAAACTTGTTCAAAGTAAACGCCTAATTTATATCTTAACCGCTGTAACTATTAACATTTTAATCCAATCCAAACGCGAGCTATAACTCGGAGCTCGGAATGACTTGTTTTAATTGTTTTAAGTTATACAAACAGACAGTATAAACAAAGTCTGGCAATCCGTCTGTCAAAATACGAAATGCTTTGACGGCGAGAATTTCATATTTCACGAAATATTTTTATATCAAAACTATCTATACTTTTATATTATTTGTTTTAAAAATTTCAAACTGTTATGTTTTATCGCTTTAAGATAAAAAATTTGTCTTTATCTTATATAGGTTATATCTTAGTCAAATTCAATTTTTTTATGTTTTTAATGAAATTAGGAAAGATTAGTATAAAATAAGTTATTTTAAATGTTATAATAATATATCGATAATTTAACTTTCCAAATATTTACAGCTCTATGAACAATAGATTTAATACATGTGTCATTTAAAGAATTATGTATTGTATAATATGATAATTAATAAAATTAATTTCAGTTTTATAATTTATATATTCACGTGTTTAGTACTCTGCGGGGGCTGGCCTAAATCGATGGTGCTCTCCCAAAAATATAATCGACGCGGGAGACAACGTTCAGATCATTGTTCTAATATTATTTTTCAACTAAGTCGATTTTTTTAATATATAATGATAAGCTAAAACTTCATTTGTATTTCCCTCACCAATAATAGCATGAAATGTATTTAGCGTCAAGATAATGATATTCTGCTTTGAGAGACGTGAACTTTTAAATTCGTTTTAATGAAACTAACCTAATTTTTAAATAGCTTATAATATATTGGATAATATATTGTTAAATTATTATTAAGTCAGGTAACGAAATTAAAGAACAAGAAGTATGAGGCAACCAGAACAAAAATATGACTACCCGCATATTAAAAAAAAATGTATAAATATTATATTTTGGAATTGTTTTGCGAATATGTGGTTCTTTAAATATATTTCATGAAATCAATATTTAAGCATAATTTTTAGATTATGCTAGATATCTTATAGTTATCTTTAAATATCTGCATACAAGAATTAAGACAGAAAATATCCAAATTCAACTTGTCAGTCCTGAGAAAATATATTAATAATTTAAACAAATGATTATATTAGAACATAATATGTTGATTAAAGCAACGTTTGGTTTTCACTAATGAATGCTTCCATAAGCTTTATAAGTCAGCAATTTTTGACATACCCTTTAAACTCACGACAGTAATGATGTAGAGGGTCTGCAGTTTTACACAAAATCGCAATTTAAGACAGACGGTGAATTTATTCAGACGTTCAGTGAGAACTAATAATCAATACTTGGGGATCGTTCAACTAAGAACTTGTTCATTATGTTCGAATTGAATTATAATTATTATTTCGTATTTATGATTTTTCTGAAGTATCTATGTATTAAATACTTTTGTATCTTTGTTTTTGTTTGTTATGATTTTGTTATATTTAGAGTCGAGATTTTGTTTTCAGAAGCATTTTGATATATTTTGAGATTCATCAAAGTTTATATACGAAAAACTATATTGAGAAAATATTTATGTCATTTATACTAATCTTGATATTCTATAACGATACTTGTATACACATAGTGTTTTGTCTTGTTTAGTAGCGTCTTAATTCATTTGAACTCAGAAATATTAAAGCTTAATATTTAGTGGAAGCCCATCATTGAATTTTTGTTACAAATGTTAAGTAGAGAGAGGAGCTTGGACGGTGGAGGTGAGCGTTTAACGCGTTAGATAGGACCCCCTTAAACCTACACCTGGGTCACAAGTCCCAGTCACAGTTGAAGCTCCTCTGACTACAACGATGGACCGGCACCCGCACCGTGAATACATGGCATGATGAGAGGATTGATCTCTATTTAAGATGTATCTTATCAATATATACTTACATAGTACACTGAGTTGCACCGTGCTTCGCATCGGCATATCTCTCTGAAGCGCTTCATGTCGTGCTTCACACGTGAAGTCAGCATAATCGTCCTCTGAAGCAGCTTTGAAGTGAACTCTGATAAAATTGAAACATCAATTAATGAAATAAACATTCTAATACACATTTCTATACAGATAATATAAATTTTTAGTCACGTAATTTAACGAACGTGACTCTTAACGTTATTGGGAATATAAAATATAAATTCAGAATCAAATTATTTGACGATCAATTAACTTGTGTATTGAAAAATCAGTTTCAGTTATTGTATTTTAATACTGAATATGGAAATATTATATTATTATAATATTATATAAGTGAATAGAAATTGCTTTTGTGTATAGTATGATCTAACGTATTCCTTTGTGTATGTCCAATGCGTTTATATGAGACAAACCAGACCCCGGCGAAAGGCATGCGACTAGCAATTTATATAAAGGGGAATTTTGTTACTAATGCCATATTAAGCTCACGTCTGATATTGCTAAAGGGAAAATTCTCAGAATTAATGCTACACTGATCTTACAAAGATATTGTTATCAGATATTTTATACTGATAATAAATACAGTATAGTCAGTGGTGGCCTAGTGGTAAAAAGGCCCGCCTCTCATGCATGAGAGTGCGGGTTCGATCTTGGCAAGTATCAATGTGATTTTTCCGAATCATATGTACTTTCTAAGAGTATTTAGACATCATTGATTAATGCATTCTCAAAGAGAGTTGATGTCAGGCAGGCGGCCGGTCGTAAAAACAAGTAGCCAAAACTATTCACAACATTTAAGGCAGACCCTGGCTATAGCCGGGAAATTGCCAGGTAGAAGAAGAATAAATATACATAGTTTACATAATAACATAATAGATATATATACGAATAGATATGAGTATAGTGTTAAAATCAAAGAACAAAGATATAATAAAATGTATGCGGACAGTCCTACACATTTTAATTGCTTCCACTCGAGCGAAATTCTCAAATAAGTGTATTAATGCCTGTCGCCAACTATTCAAGACGTGCATCTGTTGCTAATAGCTTAATTAAATGCTTGTGAACTAAGAATTGTATTATACTATACATTATACAATTTATTTCTTGTATATTTTAAATACATATGTATATATTATACAACTTATTTCTAGATTTAAGATTTAAAACAATATTATTACTACTGTTTATTGTACTATAATGAGAAGATGAATAACAGATTTTTTATTTTAGTTATAAATAAGAAAAACTTTATCAATTTTGTGTTATAATTAATTTGTTTCTTAGCTCACGTCATTGTGATGTATTGTGTGAAGTTTCACTTTGATTCTGAATTAATATAATACACATTATGACAACAGTTTTAATGTATTAAAACAAATTTGATGTATTTTTTATTGTTTACTTATAAATATATATTGTGATTGACAAAAAGATTCCGTCCAAGCATCGTATAAATGTTTTCTTTCTTTCATTCTTCATTACGTGTGCTCAAATATTGTCATCAGCCTATCAGAGCCCACTGCTGAGCAAAGGCCTCTTTCTCACATGGAGAAGGTTTGAGCATTAATCATCACGCTTGCTCAAGACGGGTTGGTGATTTCAAACTTATAATTGTGAAACTATAAGTCCAGGTTTATTCACGATGTTTTCCTTCACCGTATGTCAGTGGTGTCTAAATACTCTCAGAAAGTACATATGACTTCGAAAAATCACATTGGTACTTGCCAGGTTTGAACCCGCGCCCTCGGCAATGAGAGGCGGGCCCCTTAACCACTAGGCCACCACTGACTTACAAATGTTACATAAAGTTAATAATTAACACTTAACTAAAAATTTACAGCCCGCGTCGTAGCAGGCTATATTTTAGGCTTGTAATTCACGTCGTGTCAGCTCTGTACTAACATCATTTGTTCACATTTATAATTTACGCGTCATTTATTCCGATACCATTTCAGTACTTATTATCTTTCATATAAAATTCTCGTGTCGCGATGTTAGACAGAGAACTCCTCCGAAACTGCTGTACCGATTTTGGTGAAATTTTGTGAGCATATTGAGTAGCTCTGAGAATCGGCCAACATCTATTTTTCATACCCCTTAGTCATAAGGGTTATTCCATCCTTAATTTTTGTTTCGGATGAAATTGTTTATTTTTATTTTTTTATAATGTAGTATTAAAAATACATAAAACCCAACATTTTTACTTTTTTATCACCAACCCCTTCTTTTATATGTCAGCTAGTATATTTTATATAAATGATTTATCTAAATGAAAAATAAAATGACTAAATGAAATCCGTCGGTACATTTATTTGTAACATCAATTTGAAAGTTTTGACAAACTTTTATCCCGTGTCATGTTACAAAGAACATGTATTGATGGAAGAGTCATGTTAGCTGTGTTTTTATTTGTTTGTTACGAATTAATTACTGAATATTAAAATTAATATATTTGGATGTTTATTTATATAATTTCAACTAGCTGACCCGGCAGACTTCGTACTGCCTCAATCAAGAAATAAATTATGTCATATTTATTTTTTTGGTGTTTACCTTTAAGCCATAAATCTCCGTGTTCTGAAGTGCGACAAAATGATTGACATACTAGTTAGTTGTCAAATCTAATGTCAAAAAACAGTTTGTATGGGAAATAAAAAAGCGCTGTTTTTAGGATTTTCCCGAAAATTAATAAAAAAACTTCAGCTTTTAAGCCTTCCCTGAACCTCCACGAAAATTTCAAGACTATAATAATATAAATCCGTTCAGTCGTTCTCGAGTTTTAGTGATACCAAGGAACAGCAATTCATTTTTATATATATAGATTACAATAAATAAAAGATATCTAGCAATATGTTAAAATTGTATAAGACAAATAATAGTTTTAAATATTACAAAGAAATTTGGTAGCGCTAGCCAACAAAAATGTTAGTTCCCACCCGCTATAACATAGGTTATGCTAAGTTTTCTTGTGTAAGATTTCATGCATAAATGTATGAAGTTTCACTCATAAATTTAAGCCATTCATAAAGATGCACTGAAATTATAATTCCATGTTTTTTTTTCTCAATTTATTATGGCTTAAAGTTAAATATGCATTCATGTTAAATATATTAAGATAGGTTTAAATAATTTTATGTAAGGACGTATTGTGATGTCAGATATAAGTAATTTTTAATATTTTGGACCTTATCATAAGCGGTAAATAAATAGAAGATTAAATAAAACTAATTTGGAGGTTTTCATTTAGCGATCAATCGTATCGAATCAAAGACTAAAATAACAAACAGTCAATTTCATAATAACTCTTAAAATAATGAGTTTTTGTTTTGTTTGAAAAATCTGTTTTGGTCCCATCAGATTTTAATCCAAAAATATTCACTACTTCGAACTACTACATAGCTATTGATGATAGATTATTTTAACCTTAATACAAAATTATGTCTACTGAATGAGATTAAATATTTTGAATTTGAGTTAACCTTATCGCGGTATTAGCTAAAATACTACCATTAGGTATCTGACATAAACACTAATTTAAAATAATACGTGTTACAATAGTCAATTCTTTAAGCTATACTCGTATACATATTTATATAGATATAAGATAAAAAAAAGTGAATGAAAGTAAGCTTTACCAACAAATAGAAATATTATACAAGAAAATAATAATAGGAAAATTACTAAGGAGTAAATAATATGTATCATTAAAGACTTATTACTTACAGTAAACAAGTTTAGACGTATCCAGTAATACAACATCGTCGTCACCGAGCGAGGACTAAGGACATTTCGTAAAAGTAATTTATGTTTTGTCTGTGCGTCTGTAACTCGACGTTTAGTTGAATGTGAGGGAAATAACAGGAGTTTGGTAACTTTTCTCATATTTAAATTTAAACTTGTTGGTAATATTGTGAGCTTTTGTTGATGATTTCAATTCATCATAATGGAATTTAGTTATTTATTACGTTCGGGGAGTTTGAGTTTGTTTCGTGAGTGTGTTATTAATGTATTTGAATTATTTTAACCTTAACACTTATTTATGTTGATATTTTTTGATGTATGAATTAATTTCGATATATTTATTATATAATAATAGATTCATCATCAGCCTATCAGAGTCCACTGCTGAAGGCCTCTTCTCACATGGAGAAGGTTTGAGCATTAATCACCACGCTTGCTCAAGACGGGTTGGTGATTTCAAACTTATGATTTGAAATTATAAGTCCAGGTTTCCTCACTATGTTTTCCTTCATCTGTCAGTGGTGTCTAAATACTCTTAGAAAGTACATACGACTCGGAAAAATCCAAATTCGTACTTGCTAGGATCGAACCCGTGATCTCATGCACGAGAGGCGGGCCTTTAACCACTAGGGCACCACGATTTATTAAATTATAGTGAGACTAAAATTCTACATATGAATAAACTTAATTTTTAAAATATATTTAAGTATTATGAGTTTATTGCATGTTGTTATTTAACATCAAAGAGGCATATAAGTTTTAATGCTATCAACGATTCTCTACGGAGTTAACGCTAATAAAATTAAAACATCATATTATGCCATTTTCTCTATAATATTATTATTCATATAAAAATACCTTACAAATTATTTGTACTTTATTTAGTTATATGGATAAATTGATTGGAAAACGACGTAGTTTTAAAGGAATTCGTTCACTCAAATGTTATTTTGTCCTCCTGTAATCGGGTTTGGCAACTTCTATCAGTGCTTTCTACCTACCAATAAACTACTTTGTGACTAGTTAATGATGTCCAATAAGTTGCGGTCATTCGATAATTCAAAGTATATAAAGACAGGCACAATATTTTATTCAGACCCGTTAGACCCATATCAAGGTTTTGACAGAGATTGTCCAATACGGAATTAGTTGTGAGTTTGTCCCTGATTTTATCGTTTTATATTTATACTCGTTGATACACGCGGATATGTCTGCGGCGAATGAAATTAATGTGGATACTAGAATAAAAAACAGAACGCATTTATATGTATGTAATGTTTTTCGCTAAAAAGTTTAGTCCGAAATAAAGTCCAACAGTGCAGTACCGAAATAAGCTTAGACTACTAGCTTGTTAAAACGCGGAATGGTTTAAAAAGTAATTTAAATACGGAACATTATTTGATATAGAAATGAAAGAATTTTATTTTATTTATATAACTAGTTTTTGCCCGCGATTTCGTCCGGGTTAAATTCGGATTTAGTAATATTCGGATTTATTAATAGTAATATAATATTTAGGATTATATCTGACCGGGAGAACTCTATTGCGAACTAAAGGCCCTAAATAACCAGATATTAGAATTTATTCATATTTTTTTTTCGGTTTCGATCGAACAGTATTAAAATATTCTATGTCCGTCTCCTTGTTCTAAGCTATCTCTCCACAAATTTTCAAGCATATCTCTACAGCTGTTCTTGAATTATAAATGGTATAACTAACACGACTTTCTTTTATATATATAGTATACCTGGATATTGTTGTATATCTCGTTGATTTAGGATTTCCATTCGCGGCTTCGACTTCTTTGATGTCTTCGCTTGAAACTGTAACAAAAGAATATTATGTTTAATATAAAAATAAAATCAATTAGGTTTTTATTTTATAATTATTATTAATAAACAATCTGATTATATAATGAGATATAAGAATTTGCCGAGTATTATTTGAATTAAACTTTTATTTTCGAATTACTACGCGTTTTTTCCAGATTTTTGAAAGGTTCTCTTGGAAACGCGATATAATCGAACTCCACGCGGGCGAGGCTGCGGGCGGAAAGCTAGTAGGTAATCTATATTAGTGTAACTCTGAATTAGAATGAATCCTTACAAGTTTAGAATTTTCAAACTCATCAGCGTCTATTGATGTCAGGAACATGATATCCAATTCAATATTTTCGTCTTCAATTTTCCCCGGTTTTAATTTACGTTTCAGCCGCTTGTGATTCTGGTGTATGTTTCGTTTTCCTTGTGGAAATGTTTTAAATTTTTCTTCCCGTCCTTATTAAAAATGTAATTCGTATTTCATTTAACGAGTGGAATTTAAATGTGTATTCATTTAATATTATCGTAAACAATAATTCTGTTTTATTACGACTGGTAAATTACAAAAGAAAAATTATTTCGATAATTTTATATACATAGAATTATTTTCTGTTATCGATTTGATACACTATTAATCCGGTATGATTGCATACAAATCTGTTCAGTTTTCGTCTATCCAACATATATATGTATGTATAGTATATTCTACTAACGCAACGAGGAACAGTTTAAATAAATTACGTTATGTTATTTGTATAAGTTAGACAAAGGTTTCCTCTGTTTATCTCACACTCGATAGGCCTATGGAGTCTAAATTGCTAAAATTAAGCCTTATATATCTCCAGGGCGTTTCTACAGAGCTCTGTATGTGTGGAGAGGGCGTTGTTTGCATCAAATGTAACGGTTATGTGTTCTGTGTGGTTAAAGTTTTTTATGAGGTTCAACTAATGAGTTACGGCTATTTGGAACAAGGTTTTGGCCTAAATATTTTTGATATCATTTAAATTGACCTGATCTTAACTTTGGTTAAGTTTCGAAACGATAATAAAATTTTGATAGTCTTCTTCAAGAATTTTCTTTTATGATGAATAAAAGTGTAGTAAAATGGAAAGTACTTGTAAACAAATACAATTCGGTTTAAAAAATAGGTACTAAAAGGATTCAAAGATTTTTCAAGCTTACGATTATATAAAAATTTCTAGAAACTAAACATTACGTATTAGTAGAAATAAAACATAAAAAGTCGGACAGACAGACAAACAAAACAACGTATATATCATGCTAAGATCCTGAAAAAACAAAGTTACATTGAAATCACAAGCCGTACATTAAAAACATTAATTATATTTTACCCTCATAATGGGTTTATGACAATAAACATTTTATATAAAAATTATACCCATATATTATAATAATAAATTATTGGTAAAGAAAATAAATAAAGAAAAGAATACCATCACAGAAAACAAATAAATCTCTGTACAAACCACATCGGAATATAGATTTGATAAAAAACAGATATTTCCAACTGAATACAAAATATCTTTATTTTATTCTGGCCGGCATTTCGTCAATCGAACCGTAAGAGCAATTACGTCCGGTCTGAACATTTCAAAACTCTATAGTCTCATTTTAATGTGCCTGAATTAAAGGGATCCCTTCAACTAAAACGTTTAATAGTTCAGACATGCAAATTTTAAAATAAAATTTATATGTTAAACTTTAATTGCTATACGAAAGGGTTCATTGTAATGGGATAGAGCATCCTTATAATTTTTAATTACTAATACCTATCATTAATATTATTTCTTTGGTTTTATATAGACCAATTTTATTTTGTCTTTAAGATAATTTGAGCATTTATAATAGGATATAATTGAAATTGAAACATTTCCTGCCGCAGAAACCGTAAGGAGTGGACTTAAACCAAACCAAAGCTTGTCCACAGCACTATTAATTCAAAAGTGCGGTTAATAAATTCCACAAGTTATACCATAACAATTCCAATTCCCCATTAAATCAGCGAACCAAATAAAATTACGATATAAGGAAAAATTTCTTATTTCAAAGCATTACACTGGATCCAAGAAACTGGAAAATATCCCCTTACAATAAAATAAAGGGGCGGCGCCGAAGAAATTGGTTCCGTATAATTTAATTGTATATTTTTGCATTCGGTTACAACCGTTTCAAAGATTTTGTATGTATTAAGAAATTTACAGATTAAAATTATTCGTGTTATACGGAGTAAGCAATTATTCATATCTGTTCAACCGTGGTTTAAAACAGTATAACTGTTTGAGTGAAAATTATTTGTGTATGGGCTTATCTATTTTTTTTATTGACTGAATTCAGTTATTGTTTTTGTATACGATAGAGATTTTTAATAAATATATTGAATTAAATTTAGTAAAATATTATACATGTATTTGAAATAAGCAAAAATTTTCGAGTTCATTCTTAGTTACTCGACATATATTCAAAAACTAAACAGTTTACAAAAATTGCGTCCAAAACTATTTTATATAAAAAGTTTTGTTATTCAAACTTATTTGACAAAAATTTTAAATTATATTGCATATGTTATTATAACTCGGTTTTTCATAGACAGATAAAAAAGTTATTTACATATACTATAGCATAATGATTCCGGGTGTGATAGTTTTTCATTGCTTTGGCTTTTTAACAGCCATTCCACATAATGATTTGTAGATTATTAACTGTTGGAACAAAATAAAAATATCGGTCTCCTAAAAATAATTTTACTAAAATCACAGTCGTTATGAAATATTCAAAGTATTTCAATAAAAAGATGAATTAATTTTCATGATCAGGTTAAATAGAAAAAACTGAAATACTATATTTACATGCACTACGCATGAAAAATTAATAAAATAAAAAAATATAAGTCTACCTTTTTCACTCACTAACCCTATTATATGATAAATAAATTATACATATAATTATCACTTGAAATTTAATTATAATTTGTCATTATTCAAAATATATATAAATAAACGTCGTTTTTCTTGCATTTAGGGAATCCTACACGAGGGTCGTTCTGGGAAAAACCGCGCGCGCTCAAGTACTCTCAGAGCAAGAATTATTTTCAACAGTAATGATAATTCACTGGGAAAATACATTATTGCTTTTCATAATGAAAATCGTAACCATGGGCTTACAAATAATATATTTCATAATCATGATACAACAGGGTAATGACAAGGCTTTACGTTTGCTTTTGTATAAAATTTTGTCCTTTGAATTTATAATTAACTAGGTGTCGCCCGCGACTTCGTCCGGGTTAATGTCGGAATTAGTAATAAATGTATAGCTGACCGGGCGAACTCTATTGTGCACTAAAGGCCATAAATAACCAGGTATTGGAGTTTATTAATTTGTTTTGTATTTCGATCGACCAGAATTAAATATAATATGTCCGTCTCCTGGTTCTAAGCTATCTCTCCACCAATTTTCAACCATATCCCTACAGCAGTTCTTGAGTTACTGCTACGACTTTCTTTTATATATAAAGATATATAGATATATTTATACTCCAGAAAATATATCTCCAAACAATAATCCTTCTCAATCGATACATCAGTGATATTTCATATCAACGTCCGCGGTTTATTCACGATGGATTTAATAAATCTGGATATAATATGAAGAAAACAGAAATATAACAACTAGTTGAGAATATATAACGATACTTATAACATTATTGACTTATTAATTATAATTATAATCTTCCTAGTTTATAAATTTATTGACAGAAAAATTAGTAGCGTTAAATTTAAAGTTTTTATATATAAATAGAAAATATTATGAAGTATACAGTATGTAATATTATTTTATACTGCCAAGTCGTATCTAGTATTCGTCAATCAAGTTATCTAGTGATGCATTTAACGAATATCGACATCTAATATCATCGTGGATTGGGGAACGGCTTCGGAATTTCCTATTAAAACCATCCGTTTATCTTAATCGTTTGTGTTCATCGACATATAAGGGTTGCTCTGACATTGAAGTTTATCGACAATTTATATATCTCTTCAATATGTTTTAAGGTATGTTATATTAAAAAATACTAACAATGACATCGCCTTTGTCTAAATCCGCCAAGCCAACCGCGAATCGCATTGATCGAGTAATATGTACGGCAATTGTTTACTAATTGAAATCGAAAACTTCCTTAATTAATAACAGCGAGATAGTTCCAATTAGTGATGGGAAGCCAATTACCGATGTTACAACAACGAGCATTCAACCAATCACGCTTCTCCAAATTTTGATTGACTCTTCACATATTTTGTGAATTTTTAATACATGTATGTATACATATAATACGATTTTTAGGTCTAGATTTCTTCTATTGTATTTTAATTATTAAAATATATATATATTAAATATATTTTTATAAACAATAACTGTATTTTTATTATTCATATGCAATGAATATTATACATATTTTAATAATCTTTTAAAATATTCAATACGTTATTTTGTAAAGAAAAATATGGATAGATTTTTGTGTCACAAAAACTATTTTCTTTCAAATGCAAGTCTAGCAAGCTACATTATGTATGCGCATATCTTAAAATGTACATTTTAAGTTATTTTAATTCCTTAACTTAATTAGAAAGATGTTAAACAAGGTTTTTGTGACTAAAAGAGCAAAGTTTGTTGATTATATATTATGAAAATGATCTAAAATCATTAGGATGTGTATAAGGGATGTCTTTGAGATAAATTTGATTATTATATAATAGTTTTATCTTCAGTTTTGTCCACAGTTGTATGGTATAGTACAATGAAAGATATTTTTAGCTGCAATACTATTTATATCTAAGACTTTCGAGTATGTTTTCATTTAAATAAAACAAATATTTTCGAATTACTACGCGTTTTTTATTTTAATTAACTATATACTCCCGACGCGACGTTTTGGTTACTTTGCAGCAACCGTGTCACGGATGGACGAGATGAAAATATTAAGTTTATTTATGTGGAATAAAATTTTTTAGTCTATTGATTACAAGAGATTATTTAAGTTAAAACCATAAGCAATTAAACTAAACCATGGTTGTATGTAAGAAGTTTTTTATATAAAAAAATCACTATTACATGAAATTTATACGTTAAAACTAAGATCTAGTATTAAATGAATTAAAGACAAAGCAAAACAGACCTTATCTTATCACATTTTAGGCATGATTTAGTGTATTTTAAATGTTTTTTTATATCTATTTTAATTTGTTAACACCAGTCAATAGCTTTCGACCCCCCAGGTGATGTTTCACCCCCTCATCAAATGGATTTTTCAATATCCCGCCTAACGATGCGAGACGATCGCTTTAATCGCTCTTAAACCAAATTGAATTTTAAATGTATTAATTTTTTATATGAAACTTTATATATGAAGTATTGATGATATCATGTTATATGAATTAAAAGATTCGTTTATAGAAATTGTATTATAAATTTAAAAGTGGATTATGGAGTAAAATAATTAATTTTACAAGATAGTGAGTGGATGTGATTTTTCCGGGTCATATGTACTTTCTAAGAGTATTTAGGCATCACTGATTAATGCATTACCAAAGAGGGTTGATGTCAGGCAGGCGCCCGGTCGTAAAAACAATTAGCCAAAACTTTGCATAAAATGTAAGGCAGACCCTGGCTAAGGCTGTGAAATTGCCAGGTAGAAGTAGAAGAAGAAGAAGTGTGAGTGGAATCGAGTTAAAAGTGTTGTGTTGTTTTTATTACACGAACGAAAAAAACGCTGTTCGTTTTCAATAGGTAGAAAGTTTATGGTGTATTTTTAGGTGAAGGTTCATTCTAATGATAAGCTAGGACTGAACGTATTTTTCCACGATAATGGAGGTAATTTGGTTTTAATTAGTAAAACTAAGTAACTGACTTTATTGAATTGAAATGCTCTGGTTAGTTTTTCCCTTAAATGACATATTTTAGATCTGTTTTAGGACAGTTCAAGAGCTAAGGAATCTTGATTCCATATAATTAAGTAAAAGTAAATAACTGAAAGTAACTTGTATATAGAAATTGTAAATTATTATGTTCGAAGATTTATACGTATTGATTTATACGGATTCAAACCTGAACGATTTTTCACGTCTTTATTACTTGGACAGTGGAGGTGAGCGTTTAACGCGCGGTAGATAGAGGCCCCTTAAACCTACACCTGGGTCACAAGTCCCAGTCACTGTTGAAGCTCCTCTCACTACAACGATGGACCCAACACACGCACCGTGAATACATTGAATGCTAAGAGTTTTCGTCTCTAAATTCGTTCATTGAACTGATTTATATTTTAAAATATAATCATATTTTACTTTAATTACTTCATTAGCGTATATTAACACTTACTAGCAAGCTATCTCAGTATATTATTGTACAAAACAATTCCCAGTCAATAGATTCATAGTATTACAAAAAAATCTGAAAGTCAATAATGACGTCACCCAACTATCGGTTTGATAAAAAAAACATTTTTTTCCCAAATGACACATGTCACATACACGACATTTTGAAATTTTCAGTTCAGTATTTAAAATTGTGAATGTATTTTTAATGTGTCACAAGTTTGGAGACGCGATATTTAATATTTTATGCTATTTATGTAACAAAAAGTGTCGGCGAAGGGTGTGTAATTTTGCTTATTATTATACTATGATTAAAAAGGTATATTTAAATTCATACGTACGTATCATTTGATGCAATCATAAGGATTAAATCCATGAAAAATGTTACAGTAGAATTTAAGAAGGTAGCATCAAATACTTTTAGAAATTTAAGTTAAACGTACATTTTAGGAATTAATTCATCTTAAAAACCTAATCGTACTCTTTTTAATTATCAAAATTTAGGCATAACATATATTTTGTAGTTAAACATCTATAATGACTTTTCAAATCAATGAATCAATTTGGTTTTCACAAACTCATAGCCTACAAAAAGAAAATATCAAAACGGTGACTACACTTAAAATGTTAAATTTAGACAATTTTTTTGAAGGAATTATGACGACAAAAATCCGAAAGAATCTCATTCAAATATTAACATCTTCTACATTAATCAGCAGTTTTCTCCTGCTAGAGAATTATTATATCGTCATCAGCCTATCAGAGCCCACTGCGGAGAGGCCTCTTCTCACATGGATAAGTTTTGAGCATTAATCAACACGCTTGCTATTATTATATGTATAACTTACCTTTATCTCCTTTCATCTCCTGGTTTCCTCTGTACCACACTATCTTGGCAGCTGGTTTAGCGTTTTTCACCTGACACTCTAACACCACGTCCTCACCTTCCTTCACCTCTAACTTGGAATTGTGTGGATGATTGACGATCTCCACGGCATTCGGTGGCGCTGAAACAAATAATTTAAGTTACTTTTTATTCATAAAGCCTAATACACATCATAGGCCTATCAGAGCCTACAGCTGAGAGGCCTCTTTTCACATAGAGGAGGTTTGAGCATTAATCACCACGCTTGCTCAAGACGGGTTGGTGATTTGAAACTTATAATTGAAAATTATAAGTCCAGGTTTCCCTACGATGTTTTCCTTCACCGTGTGACAGTGGTGTCTAAATACTCTTAAAAAGTACATATGACTCGAAAAAGTCGCATTATACATTGATGTTTAAATGCTATCTTTTACTATGCTCTAAAAAAAACATAAATCTTTTATTTCTATCGTTTTTCTCACGAATCTTCAACAAGTATAATAGCTTAGATTGTTAAATTATAAATTCCTAAAACGCATTACGCAAGGAAATATCAATGGGGATCCGAACAACGGCAATTTTCTGCGAATTCTAATTACTTATCTTCTGAGATATGCAAAATACATAGAACAATTAAAATTTAGGTGATACCAGAGTCAAGATTATTATGTCGATTTAACGGTTACCTGAGCAGCCTTATATTCCGAAATTAATCATTTCCCTGTTATTCGAATATTATATTGCTTGCTGATTTGTAATCTGTTTAAATTTATGGACATATTTCTTTGCTGAACTTGCATTTTGTAGATTAAAGTTAGACAAAATTGTTCTATAAAAAATGTATTGAATTGGACTAAATAATCGCATGTGACAAACGTGAAACGGATAATATAAAAATACAACATTATTGTTTCAGCATTTATGTTTGTTATGATACGATATAAAAAACTGAATGTTGGTTTTTGTTGCGTCGAAATATTTGCCAAATCGCATCGTCGATTTTATTGAGTGAGACGTTTGTCATAACGCGATAAACACGAAATCTATGATGAATAAAATATTATGGGACAAAGCATACGAATATAATACACTTATATTATGAAAATATTGAATTTGTATAATATTACTGTAGTGGGATTTAATGTACGCGATCTGTCAGTTTAGCCTAAGCTTACATCGTCAGTTTTTCATACTATTCAAAAAACTGAAATACTTGCATATTTCAGTTTTTTGAATAAGAAACAAGAGACGCTGTGTTAGTAGTATAAGGCAAACTTGTGCTAGGCGTAGTTTTGTTAATTCAATCAAAATCGTAATTAAATTATATATGAAAATTCCCAAATTGGAAAAAAAAAGTTTGACGAACATTTTATTTGTACGCCTGACACTAGCATGTTTTAAAATTATTTAATTAAACTATTTAGAATGATTTATATAATTCAAAAATCACAAAAAATATAAGCCATTATACTGTACAAACATAGAAAAAAAAACAAATATTTTAAAAGAGAAATTGTTAAAGGAAACTGATATGTTAGCTACGAATAAAACAAGTTAGAAGATTTTTATTAAAAGTGGAAGATAACTTATGAGAGTCATTTGTAACACAACAATGAAATGTAATAAATAAAAGTAGCAATTCCGTTCCCTCGCATACGTTACCAATATTATACTACAATAGTAGCCATGAATAAATATTGCAATTTAATAATAGTTCAATAATACAAGTAATACAACCGCGAAGGAGCCTTTTATATTAGACCTCACGACTCAGATACGATATAAAAGTCGTTCACGAGAAGTCTAGTTTCGAATAGAATTTAAAAGATCATATAAATAAGTTATAGTTATTTTCATTATAAATACAATATTAAAATACATTAAAAAACTTAATTTTATTTTGAGTTAAATATAACAAATTATTAGTAAATAGGGAATAACTTTTCATATACATAAGATAGTTGTTAAATTGATCATTACGGATATACATATACTTAAAGATCCAAATTTGAGAATAACTGGTTTTTATACAGGTGTATTGCATATAGATAACATTTTTGTTTGAAAATTTCAAGCTTCTATAATTTTTCTAGTACTAAAAGTAACCAGTACTTTTACCTAAAAAAATGATTTAATTTTAATTAATAGTATGTATTTTTGGTGATACAGTGAAATATAAATATCGTATCAGTCGTCTGTTTGTAAACGGGACTATCATCAATATCGGAGAAACCATATTGCCTTGGAGAATTCTATGATTTTTACAATTTTGTGCTTTATTTCGTTATCAAATAAATACGTTATTAAAATGTTCACTTCAATATTTCAAGGAAAAAACTGAATATACACTTCTGGATATACTTCTACATATTTCTATTTACTTGTATGGATATCCATATAATATCTGTCTGATAATTGTGACTTATATATAATTATACATAATGAAATTTTATTAAACAAGTATGAGTTGTCAAACTACATGATTTCATTATATTAAAAAATGTATTAATGAAGTAAAGATTTTTTTTATTAAAACCTATAATGATACTTAAGACTTTCGCGAGTATTCATTTAAATTTAAAAATAAAAATGATTTTTTATCCCGTCTGCCCATGATCACGGTTGCTGCAAAACAACCGAAACGTCGTGTTTTAAAATAATAAATAATTATTTATTAAAATCTGTTAACAAACATATACATTTATATTTTATTCGCAAGAGCAATATCGCGCTCGTTATAAAACTGAGAGAGTAATATTTTTCACTCATAATTTATTCTTTGATTCGTTCATTATAAAATGTAAATAAAATTAATAGTAATTTAATAATACATATAACATAGACTACGCATTGCTAAATTATCTTTACATAGAAGAAGCAGTTGAGTTAACAAAGATATTTAATTACAATTGAGTAAAAAACCTTATTTTTTTTTGTATTTCATAAGAAGTAATACAAAGTTTCTGCATAACTCTTTTTCGGTACGTGCAGCGAACCTCTGGAACAATCTCCCAAAAACCATCCAAAAGAGTCCTAACGTTAACCTCTTTAAAAAAAGACTAAAAGAGCACTTTCTGTCACAACTATTATAAATTTATCAAATTAACTTATTTATTTATTTATTTTTCACTGTTGTATATATATATAATATTTATGTATTTATATGTAGTATAAGTATATATGTATTTATTATTATAGTATTTATTATATCATGGATATTTATGTAAATGTTATACTATGTATTATATTAAAATTGTTTTTTTTTAATATTATATTTTTATTATTATTTAGAGCATATCTAATTGCACAACTATTTATTACCCGCTATACACACTAACCCTTAAAGCTGTAGGTTGGCTGGAAGAGATTTCTTATAGAAATAATCCCGCCTTTGTCAACTTGTTCATGATGTGAAATAACTATGTAATTTTACTGTGCAATAAAGAGTATATATAAAAACAACAAAACAAAAACAACTTTTATAATTATCAATAAACACAATTTAAAATTAAGTTTTCTATTTAAAAAGATGCGAATTATTATAAGTTATGTTTTAAACCATCATATGTCTCAAGTTATTAGCGAAATAGTATCACAAAAGCATTTTAGCGTTTGGCCACTTCTAACCAAAATCCGAGATTAATTTTTGTACATCGTTTTATATAGCTATGACAACAACTGCACGGTCCATACTACAGGAGGTAGCGGGATTGTATTTTGACCTATCATTGATTTATAGCTTTGATAATAATCAAGTCGTTATAAAAACGAAACATAAAGATTAAATATTATTTTAGAGGGATACTTTTATTTCATTTTAGATGTTGCATTTAGGGATTTATAAAAAAAAATGTATTATGTTATTTTACCTAATAAAACAATTTCATACAAATAAACTTTGAAGATTTAAGTGTTTGATATATTAAAAATGCCGTATTTTATAAACTTCTTAGATAAATAAGCGTCAATTAATTTTCATTATTTTTTATTTCGGTAAGGTATTTTTCAAATCAAATTTATTTTGTGGTTATAATAGTAATTGGCTAAAGCTCGCTACATCTTTTAACTCAAGCCACGTAACAGGATATTGCTGTCTAGCGACCAACAGTTATGCTCCCCTGGCTCCACACAAAGGTGGGAACTTCGGCTTTGTTGCGGCCAGTGGTTGTCAACACAGGGTCATTACTTGTTTTTGGATTATTTTGTTTCTTTGTCACCTCATTATAGTTTAGACAAAGAATTTGAAATTATTTAATAAGGCTTATGCTGCTTATTGAATTTCGCGAATAAATAAAATCATATAAAAATATGGCATAAAATATATATTATGAATCTTAAAAACCATAACTCTTTTCTAGAGGTAGTGAGAAATAATACAATATGAAGAAATCTAAACATTAGTTTACAAAACAGCTACTTTTAAATTTGTTCCGAACTTTTCCAACACTGGCTGAGCTAAATATTTTCTCCTTGGTCTTGTCTTGTTAGCTTGTTTTATGGGTCTGCAAATTAGTTTTACATTTTTAACCTTTCTTATAGCTGAGGCATGGAAAAACTTAAATTGGTATAAAGTTAAGGTAGCAGTGACTACTCCTAGCAATTTATGGACTCTAAAGATCGCTTGCTCGTTGGGGCACGTCTAATAAATTCAATAACAAAAGCTAAACACTTTTTTGGTTCTTATTCCCCGCGAAACTTCCAAAGAAAACAGAACGAGAAAACGCCGCAAGCAAATCTACAGTTTGTACGGTGTTCAACAAACACCGTTCGAAACTCACCTCTATTTGTATTCAGTGAACTGAAAACAATTGGGCGCACTGTACAAAAGTTGGAAACTTTGCTTGAAGGCAACCCCGTTCTTTGAATTACACATTCTAGTCAAATAGCTAAGAGTTTTATTTGCAGAAAAAACAATCGTTGGGTAAGTGTTAATAAAGACTTTTATTAGTAAAGTTGCTAAAAAAATATATAAAAGCAACATATGTGTAATCAGACGAACTTCTTTATTTATCTTTCAATATACATTCCACAATATCAACATTTAATTCAGACGTATTTATTTTCATGTTGAAGGGCATTTTGTTTTTCTTCGGAAAAGCAAAGTGAACAGTTCATTTGTAAACAAAAGGACGAGCCATTGAT